ATAGTGTCTGAGTTCAACTCGAAGACTGTACTTTTCGTTTGTTTTTTCCTACTCTTGGTGTTTTGCACTCACTATTGGTCGTGTCCAACAGATGAACTTCAAATCATTCATTATCCTTAGATTCTACAGCCAAATAAATAACCCGGATTGTGAGATGATTTATGAATATTCTCTGAATAGGCGTAAAGCGCAAGACTATGAAACTCTTCCAATTAACACCGTGTCTACTTTGGCTCCTAGTGCAAATAGATGTTTCTTCTCTCGCCCTGTCTGTCCAGGTCGTCCGACCAGGAAGTTCGCAAATGGACGACTGATTATTAGAACGATGGTTCACACTATTGTGTATTTTTTTCCCGTGTAGACCAACCAACTAGTCAGTGACGCCCCAACTCTCTCTCACACACACTCACTAACCTAATCACTATTTTTGCTGTGGTTTTGCCTACTAAATGCGCTTGGGCGGGACCGCACGCTGCTCAGTGAAAAGTAGTGGGGTTGACGAACGAGTGGCGTCTGCTGAAAATGGCTGCGGGTGACAACCTAATACTGCGTGTGTAGACATCACTCTTGTGGAACTAGAGAAGCGAGAGGGAGAGAGAGAGAGCAATAGAGATTTGATACATTTGGATGAGCACGCTTTTGGTTTGTGCACATATGAAAAGCTGTGTGACTTGTGTGCACACAGAATCATCATCAGGTTTTTCTACCGGCCCGTCCGTCCTTTTGGATTTCTTTTTTACTCTACGGATCACTAATTAGTCACTTTGGTTTGACAAATTTTCACCATCAACGGCCACTTTGACTTTTAATCAAGTCCAAAATCCAAACGCTATACGATAATTTTGAGTAAAAAAAACACGTGCAGAGCTTCCGTCTAGAGCAATTTTCCTGTCTTTTCCGTACGAATCCACAGCCAACAGGAATTGTACGTTGTGAATCTTTCTATCCTTTAGAGTTCGCTGGCTCGTGACCCGAAGTGAGCGACATACACGAGAACACAGTGCACATACCCTGGTATCGATGAAGAACACACGAGAAACTGTCCAATTTATGTAGATATGATCTAAGTGTCGTGAAACTCAGAGATCAGGGTTTCAACCTTCAATAGCAGAATTCATGGTTTGAGATCCGGTATGAACATACTGCTGATAAGCTTCCATAAAGGTAAAATAGACGTTATTCGCTGTTTGTTAGTCATCAAACAGGAAATTCCGTTGCATTTTATAGTTGCTTTGTCAGAAACCTCTTCGTGCAATAGGGGCATCTAGTACTATTCAGTCCGACCGAATTAATATGAAATACTGCGCGGTGGTCGTTCGTTTTCCGCTCAATCAAAACGGACGGAATTGGTAGGTGCATCCTACTTACCAACAATCTATATTTATGCAGATTGCCTTAACTTAATGCCATTGGAATTATGTAATCAGTTAGATATATGTTCGCGTTTGGAAAATTCAAAAACCTGCATTGGGGCTTACATCATAAACTTCGAATACTGACCAAACCGTCAACTTGGCCTCATTAGATCCCTTAAAAGTTTTCCTAGAAATTTTATAGCAGTATTAGGATTAGGCCTAAGCTGGATCATGTTAAACTCAACTAGGGTATGCTTTTTACGATGTTCAATGAAATATTAAACTTTGCCCTTTTTTTTGTTATTTCTTTCAGATTGAGAAAGGTGAACCAAATGTGATTTGGCTATCTGGACTGCATATTCCCGAGTCCTACTTGATGGCTCTAGTTCAAACCACTTGTCGTCGCAATAGTTGGCCCTTGGATCGCAGCACCCTGTTCACTTCGGTTACCTCGTACGAGGATCCAGCCGAGGTGCAAGAACGTGCACATCAGGGCTGTTTCGTTAGCGGACTTTATCTGGAAGGGGCCAGTTGGGATGTGGCACACGAATGTCTGGTTCGTCAATTGCCGAAACAATTGATTCAACCACTGCCGGTCTTGCGAATCACCGCGATTGAGGCACATCGTCTCAAGCTGCAAAACACTTTCCGCACCCCGGTCTACGTGACTTCGGATCGTCGGAATGCCATGGGCGTGGGTTTTGTGTTTGAGGCAGATCTGAAAACAGACACGCATGCGAGTCATTGGGTACTGCAAGGTGTCTGTCTCACACTGAACACCGATTGACGAAATCACATACCGCCCCGGATTGCGATTGTCCTCCACCCCACGCGGCCGTCTTCGCGCGAGGGACCATACTCAACCCAAATGAACCTATCAACCCGCGTCTTTCTTTGTATGAACATTTTTACCTTTGATTATAACGAATTGGTTTTGAATTAAAAAAATGAAGAAACTAATTGAGAACACAGGGGCGTTTGTGTGTTATCGAAACGATTGACCGCAAACTAGTTGGGTGTGAAGGAGATTTTACGAGGAGATTTAGTTATAATATCGGATATGTAAAGAACGCGATTAGATAAAACCCTTTAATCTGGCCACATCCACCGAGAGGCAAAGTGGCGGGATGCGATAATCAGTCAAGCGAAACAAGAGTTTTAACTTTATTGAACGAACGAGTAAGTTGCACTGTTTTCTATATTAGAGTACTAACAAACTTTTGCTAATAAGTACGTTTGCATTTCATGAAGAGCAGAACAACATTTTTAAATAGAGTCAATCACCTTTAGAGTGTTGTGGTACGTGTGGTTGATATGCGGCATGCTACTGAGAGTCAAAGCGGTAGCACATCGATCAAAAAGCCACCACTGCCGGATATTGACAGATACACATGGCTGAACGGAATAGCTGTACAGGGAATACGTCCAGGGCTAATCAATGATTAGTAAGTAAGTGGCACACCGACTCTGAGTGATAAATATACACACACTTGCATAAAACAAATCAAATCTCCCTTATGTGTTCTGGACAGGAATACATCATCGGACGGGGATAGAAAAACTCGAAGCGAAGAGGAAAATGGATAATCAGTAATATCATCCCCCTGTGAATAGAAACATCATAGTCATAAACTGAATTTTCTTCCGATGTGCAACTAATAGTTTCTGACATCTCAGGCTTTGCACTGACGATTTCTGACGCGAGTGGAATATCTGTCATTGCCCTGAACCTTATGCGTTGGTGAAAGAATGCGAAGAGAATAGCGGCACTAATCAGATCAGCACGCACAACAACATAGGAGAGAAAAGGATCATTCTCACTGAAAGGGAGCTCAAAGCCATGAATGAGAGCGAAATGTGGTGAAACTTACATCGAGTTAGTTAAAATAGGCGGAAATAATGAGAAAGGACGTGTCCATAACTTTTGCAATGCACCAAGTTCAACTATCATTTCAAGTTGTTTGAGCATTAGTTCAGGCTGTTCCGTTCAGCCCATCGGAGCTGCCAGGCTCATTCACTTTTCAAGCCTCCGAGTCATGTTTGAATAAGCATAGATTTCTCAAACTTCTTTTAAATCGTGACGATTGTGGGACGTGCTTTGGTCAAGCACACCCCCAAATCCCATGACGTATCATGATTGATTACCTTGCTGGTACGCGTACGCGTGTGAGCTTGTGCGTGCGTTTGTGTGAGAGTGTTCGTCCCCCTTCCCTTGTCAATGTCGTATCTAGGCCTTAATTCGCCCGGCTTACTTTGCGCAGTGGAAGCGTTTTAATAGGCCCATACTCAGAAAAGCGCATTTTTGAGAAGTATTCTTCTTTTATTTCTTTTCATTTTACTTCCTTTTTATTGAATATACAAAGATGCAATTTTCGGAAGGGGGAAGCGGCCAATCAGAGGGCTGCCATACAACACACAATGGGGAAGTCAGGCGGTGGTGGTGGGATTCGAACACTCGTCCTCCGGGGTGATAATTTGGTGACGTTGCCACCGGGTCACCACCGCCCGGTTTTCGAATTTCTTCTAAAATTCCACAACTATCATAAAATTAATGGTATTTTTCAACGTCATGCTGTTTCTATCTCAATTGGTTTACCGTAGATGTCTCCTTCTGTTCTGAAAATATGAACAAACCAGTCATTCTTATTGTTTAGTCCTTGAAGGGTGGAATTTTGTTGGTGCTTTTGTGACGATTGGTGTCTCAGTGCAGCCGCTTGAGTCGAAGCTTATGAATTCTGTTGCAGCATCATGTAACGAACGTAAGCAACGACTCAAGCGTTTATCACGCATGATCCATGGGTATCAGTGGGGCGTATCCCGACGTTCTTCCAGGGGGAGGGGACTAACACCGGCACACAAATGCGTACTCGCGAGGTGAACAATCAAGATATGTCGTGAGAATTAGGGTGCGACCGAGTGAATCTTCAAACGAGTTAGTTTTTGGTGCTATATAAAGGTTAGCTATCACAGAGCATGAATAACATCGGAGATAGCGCGTTATGAACTTGATCGTTTGCGAGACAGCAAATGCTTTCCACCATTTAACTGGATAAACAACCCGGGATTACCTTGCCTACTGTACAAAATCCACCACCCTTACATTTGTCTTTCATTCCTGATGTTCATTGAAATCGAATTGAGTCTATCAAACTTTACTAATCCATTCGTCATTGATTAAATGAGCCAAGACTTTGAAACACAGCCCTGTTCATCCACTACATCAGCACCGAAAGGAGACAAATGTCGGGAGATATGAATATTTCGTTCAATCTCTGCAATCGCCAACGTGAAACAAGTTGGCATAAGTATAACATATTGGATTGATCAACCGCAGTGAACAAACTTGTGCAAACAAACAAAGATTAACAAAAATTAGAAGTCAAGGGTCAACTCAATGTTGAAATCGAATCAAATCCTCCATTACTCACTTGAAATAAGTAGTCAGGTTGTGAAAGTTTCCAACCGAGTCATAACCCCAGAGGCTAGTGCCGAGATGAGCAGGGTCTGTGGCTTGCAACAAGTTCGCAAAGATGGGTTGTGCTATATCGTGTAAATGAAAAATGAATAAACGGTCTGATCAGCTGCTCGGTGACCGAGTGGTTAGCATGCTTGAGTTCTGCCCATGAGGTCCCGGGTTCGATCCCCGATTGGGTCGATGGATACGCACTGCTGATGAGACCCAACCAGTTCGAAACAGTTGTTCAGTGCTTCCTAGCTTTTCAGTTCACGCTTCATTTGCTATATACACGACGAGTACATCTTTTAAATTGAATCAAATCCTTCATTATTCACTTGAAACTAAGTGGATTTATTGTGTCAATAAGTTTTTGGCACAAAATTGGGTGATGTAATCGAATGAGTAAAGCTACACTGAGTGACAAAAGTGTAATTGCAATTGCGTAATATCGGTTTGAAAGATGAGAGACGGTCCACAAAGTGTCTTGTAGTTCTGTGTTGATCTGCATTAGAAGACCTCGAACTTCTTGTGATTGCCTGACCAGCGGACTGTAGGAGAAACAACAGACCAAAACATGGTTCTTCCGACCATTCTAAAAAGCGGTTGATTTTGGATCATTCCAGTGCGAGAAAGCATATATTTCTGAGTGTAATCGTAAGAAAAAGCGTTGCTTCGAGTTCTCACTGCTACAGTGTGATTTCTCAAACTACATGGTCCTCGCGAGCATTTCCTTCAACGTTTATCCTAATTCTGTATAAGTTGTTTTCTAGAGAACGAGCATATTACGTCAAATGTTGTGCTGATTCCACGGTATCTGGCACATATTCCGAAAATGTCACGCGTAGTAGCTCATCATCAGAGGGCGTTGAACTGATGCAGATTGTTCAACAACAAAAAATGCCGAAAGAAACAGTATCGGCAGATTTGCATAATGAAATCCGAGACACCGTGCAGAAATTGATAGATGGACAGAGTGAACTACTATGTGAAAATGATGTAAGTAGTCATATTTTAGAAGTAAAAGTAAAACAAGTGTTTTGGTCACATAAAGTTCATTAGGAGATGAGAATATTAACATCAAGATAATTTTGGAAAATTTCACCTCAAACTCAAATTCGCGTTTTGTAAATTTACAATTGGGTCATAGGTAAGGGGCTACATTCATATAGCATGTTCTAGTCTTTCTTTCAAACCATTCCACAAGTTAGCCCTATCTTCTCACCAAATTGCAGCCCAGCGGGGTGTCGGAAAATATCGCGGTGAAGCGACGGTTTTCAAGAGGTCTTGTCTTCGAGGCAAATTTCGTCTACGGGAGGATTTTCATGGAAAAACCAATGCAGGATTTTTCAAAGATGCTACGAGTGGCATCTCCAATACTACTCCGCGTTTATCGTCGAGGATGCACGTCTACCTCTTGCTCGGTCCGGTGCCCTATATTATGGTACCCAATCTCTCACTTCTTGGTGGACTACAAAGCCAAGGTGCTATCTAAGAATGTTTCTGTGCTCAGTTGGGGATGATTCACGCGCTAGACAGAAAAATGCCACGTCCTCTGATATTGTGGACGAACTTCCGCGGTTGCTTATTCAAGGTTTCTCTCTCTAAAGGTCGTTTCATATCCGTGATCTGGAGATCTGCGCTATGGTGCATAGCTACACTGGTCGTAGGCTGTGAGTAGCCTATCGCTTGCGACAAATGAATTCAAGAGATTTGCTTTAGTTAATTGCCAATAAGGATCGATTATTAGTCAGTTGCGATGCATCTTCTGCGCTGACCGGCAAATAATACTTCGCCTTCAAAAAAAGAACTATATACAAAATAAGGCTTCCAGTAGAGCATAATCCTGTGGGGCGGTCACTTCCTCCGAGCGAACGTACTGTCTCAGTTCCAACTTATATTACCACTGACCCCCCAAACAGGAATATTTTTTGGGTTAGACAATAGGACTTTGAATCTACACATTCACACACATTATGCTAGAGAGAGTTTGTGGGTCATCCTATTGTGCTAGGTTACACTTAGTTAAGTGGATGCGAAGGTCAGTGGGAATCTTTTAGTAGAGTCAGCGGACGGTGCCAGAGCTATCAGGAAGTATGTGTCTCCGGTGTGTTTCTGTTCACGCTCGGTTTTATGAAATATGCAGCGATAACTATAGGGGTGATCAATACAAGTGTATTTGGAGTATTTAATTCATTCATTACAACTTTACACCACAGAAATCTCTCTCGTAGACATCGATGGATCGTTATACTGACATTCCAAAGCGCTGATAAGCAAGTGAAGGTGGTGGTGGTCCGGTGGTGACACCACCAGACTATCACCCTGTAAGA